TTTTTAAAATGAAACAAAAATTAGCCTCCATGATGATTTCACCTACATGAAAAAACTTTTATACGTCAAAAATTTTTTAAATGAATAATGGAGTAGCTCGTCGTCTTCTTTTAAAAAAAAACTGAAAAACTCTAAAATTTTCAAAGAATTAATAACTTTAAAATTCTTACAGATGCGCTTTCGTTGATTGTGAATGCCATATATTTTACGGCTGAGTGGGAGTATAAGTTCTATAGCGAAAGCAATACGAAGCAGAAATTCTTCAGCTCGGAAACAGATGCTAGAGAGGTGAGAGCATTTTCATACATATCATAATAAGATATTAGTGCGACACATTCACAGATGGACTTCATGAACGATATGGAAGAGCATCGACTATATGCAGAAGATGATAGTGTACAAGTCTTGTCTTTGCAGTATAAGGACACTTCTTATGCGTTCAACATCTTTTTGCCTAAGAAAAGGTACGAAGTGAAAGATGATTGCGCATCGAAACTTTTTGGTGGCTTTAAACGATGTTTTCCAGGTTCGGTCTTGAGGAGCTGAAGGAAAGTTTGAACGGCGCAAAAATCCAACATCTGCTATCCAAACTGGAAATCGCTTACATATCGGTATCAAAAGCATAACTGATTACCGCAATGTTTCTGAGAGGAGAGAGAGGAGGGGGAGAGGGAAAGGAATGAGGAGAATGGAGTGCATGTTTTGATAATTAAATCGCTGCTATAACCACTGAGATCACGAATATATCCCTTTCAATTCAAAGTTCTGGATTTTAATACCCACGTTTGATAGAATATATTGCAACTTTGGAAAAAAAAAGTACCACCTATGTCAGTATCCTCAAATTCTACAATAGACCAGAGTATTAAATGTCTGCTATATCATGTGAGGTCAAAAGTAGCATGTTTATCTGAAGATTTCAATACACAAAAAACCACCATTTAAAAATTGGAGATTAAAAGGACTATGGTGATTCCCTGCTGGAAATTTAAGCGTCTTAGTCGCAGTTACAAAATATTTTCAATGAAGTAATCGAAGCGAAAAATGATAAT